GACAATACTGTTGAGAACCAACCTGCTGGGTGATTGACAGCTGGCTCGGCCTGCCTAGAGGCCGAGCCAGCTGTGCCCGCCCCCTCCCCTTTCGTTCTTCCAGTCAGTGTTGGAGAAACGGAGAGGGAAGGGGGGAATCTGACGGTCACGATTCACTGCAGCGTGAGGATCGGGAAGTCAGCGATTGGCGGGGTATGTGTTCGCTGTTTACCTGACCAATAGAGCCGACCTGTGACAGCTTCTTTGTCACAGGTCAGCTTGAAATATGGGGATGAGTGTTTTTCACTCACCCCATAATTTCCCCTTACTTATCACTTCCCAAATATGATTTTTAAACTTCTCTAAATACAGCTCCATGTATGTTTCAAACTTTAGGTATTGTGCACCAATGATTGAGCCGTGGATGCACATTCAGAATTTCACACGTGACTTGCTCCATAAAACTACGATTTCTAGAGAGCATTGTCACAAGTGTGCATGCATAAACAGTGGGTGAGACATGTGATGGCCATTCCTGTGTAAAAGCAGCAACCAAGGCTGGATGGGAATGTCAATCACATCATTCAAGAATGGGATTCAGTGATATGGAGGCTGTGCCTGGAAACACCATGCTTTGCAAACATGGGGCTGACACGCGGGAACGCACACTCCCAGGTGACAACCTTGCTCCTGTTAATGTGTTGCTGTCACCAGAGGACAGGACGCAAGAATGGACCTTCTAATTAACAAGGGATTGGAACTGAGTAGAAAACAAACCTCTAAGTTATACAGAAGGACTGTAAGCACACTTTTAGAGGAAATAAATCTAGCCTTTGCATACACTTTAACTGATAACACATGACAGGTTACAAAAATAATCGTCTCCACTCTCAGGTGCTGTCCATTTTAGGTTGTAAGCTCTCACAAGCAGGACCCTCCTAACCCTTGTGTCCGGAATTGTATTGTAACTGTACTGTCTCCCCAGGGGCCTCCCTAGCTTTTTTAGCGCCTGAGGCTGCAGAGTGGGGAAGGTTGGCGGCGTCCTGCCACTGATGCCACTGGCTGCCAGGAGCTCGGCAGGAGGCCTGCAAAAGCATCCCAGGTTGCTAAGAGCTGGTCGGAGAGATGTGTATAGTCCTTACACATCTCCACACCTGGGTCTCATAGCATCCTGGGATGATCTGGCTGGAAAAGGGGCAAACACTGCAAACATTGTGCAGCAGATGCCCCTCTGCCTGCTACCCCTCCCCCTTTAGATGCCACCTGAGGCAAGGGATGGCCCAGTGTCTCCCTTTGTATTGTAAAGTGTTGCACAAACTAAATCTTGAATAACTATAATAATCTCAGTGAGTGGGTTAAACCTGCATCACTGCAGGCTGTTGAGTTTTGATGGCCTTAATGGCAGTTCTCCAGCTTTCAAACCCTCTGTCAGCACACTTTTGGTGTGATGGTGCTAAAAGCAACAGCTTAGCACTTTAATGTCACTCCTAAATTTGGGACTCTACTTTAGAGGCTTAAAGTGACATTAAAGTTAAAAAAAAGTTTCCCTCCCCCCAATGTTAGCACTTACCTTCAATGATGTTTCTTAATCCGATCTTCTTTCTTGTCCTTTTTAGCTGTCCCTCCAGCGCTGCGGCGGGTCTACGATCCAGCGCTGACTCCTCTGTCCTTGCTGGCACTTCCTGTCCCACGGTGTCTGCATGCGGGTGCACACGTCCATAGACTTACCTTGTGTCTCTCCTCGTCTCCCGGCTGAAAATCCGAACTGCACATGCGCCCGCCCCAAGATGCTTTGCGGCCGCCCGAGCAGTTCCGGATTATCTGACGGCAGCGTGCGGCGAAGACGAGGTAAGTTTAAACCGGTGTAAAAGCTTTTTAAAAAAACTTTTTGCATATATCTACTACTTTAGAAACCCTTTAAGCCCCAATTCACACCTGAGCAATTGGTTGCATGTTTCACACTTAAGCATTCTGTTGCCTGTCGCATATAGGCCAAAAAAGTACATGTGCTTTTTCAGGCAGAATTGCGGGTTTTTGGCTTTACTTCAGTGGGAGCAACTAAAAAAAAATGTGTGTAATGAACATTTATTCATAGAATTTTGCCCGCTGTACGCTGCTCTGTGTCCCCTCTGACACAGCGAAGCCGAGCGGTGCGGGGGAGTAGAGTGATGTGTGCGTCCAGCGTCTCTCCTCCCGCACCGTTCAGAGTCCTGTGACAGATTAGGAAAGCGGTGGTGTGGGGGCGTAGACAGCGGTTATTTGAGGCCAGGCCTGCGGTGCGCGTGAGGAGTCAGCTGTCACAGGAGACTGAGCACTACTCCTCGCACTACTCGCTCAGCCTCCTGTAACAGTGAGTCAGGATGGAGAGTGGGTAAAAGCACTCAGCAATCGCTGAGTGTTTGTAAATAATTTAGGTCATAGTATGTTTACTGTGTCCCCAATTATGAATGAATGGGAAGTGATCACATCACCTCCTGTTCATTCATAGTTGTAGTTATAGTAAACATACCCTGTCACCATGTTATGAATGAACAGGAACACTCGGTATAGAGGATTCCTGTTCATTTATAACAGGGGATGCGGAAAAAGAGATGGAGAACTCTGTGTCCTCCATCTCTTTTTCTATTTTAAAAGGGAAATATTTTCCCGAAGCCCCTACCAGCAAAGTAAAAAATAAATACATATATTTAATATAAATAAATACAAATAAAATATATTAAAACATTTGAAAAGGTTAGAAAATTTTTTTTTGTTTCGGCCTGACATTTTTTTTAATTTCCGGTTTCGGTTTTGAAGATTTAATTTCGGTGCACTTCTAATTTGTCGTCCTCTTTAGCTGGAGGTATTCTGTATCGCTATATAATGTATTGCTGAGATTTGGCGTCCTCTATAGCTGGAGGTCTTCTGTATCGCTATATAATGTATTGCTGAGATTTGGCGTCCTCTATAGCTGGAGGTCTTCTGTATCGCTATATAATGTATTGCTGAGATTTGGCGTCCTCTATAGCTGGAGGTCTTCTGTATCGCTATATAATGTATTGCTGAGATTTGGCGTCCTCTATAGCTGGAGGTCTTCTGTATCGCTATATAATGTATTGCTGAGATTTGGCGTCCTCTATAGCTGGAGGTCTTCTGTATCGCTATATAATGTATTGCTGAGATTTGGCGTCCTCTATAGCTGGAGGTCTTCTGTATCGCTATATAATGTATTGCTGAGATTTGGCGTCCTCTATAGCTGGAGGTCTTCTGTATCGCTATATAATGTATTGCTGAGATTTGGCGTCCTCTATAGCTGGAGGTCTTCTGTATCGCTATATAATGTATTGCTGAGATTTGGCGTCCTCTATAGCTGGAGGTCTTCTGTATCGCTATATAATGTATTGCTGAGATTTGGCGTCCTCTATAGCTGGAGGTCTTCTGTATCGCTATATAATGTATTGCTGAGATTTGGCGTCCTCTATAGCTGGAGGTCTTCTGTATCGCTATATAATGTATTGCTGAGATTTGGCGTCCTCTATAGCTGGAGGTCTTCTGTATCGCTATATAATGTATTGCTGAGATTTGGCGTCCTCTATAGCTGGAGGTCTTCTGTATCGCTATATAATGTATTGCTGAGATTTGGCGTCCTCTATAGCTGGAGGTCTTCTGTATCGCTATATAATGTATTGCTGAGATTTGGCGTCCTCTATAGCTGGAGGTCTTCTGTATCGCTATATAATGTATTGCTGAGATTTGGCGTCCTCTATAGCTGGAGGTCTTCTGTATCGCTATATAATGTATTGCTGAGATTTGGCGTCCTCTATAGCTGGAGGTCTTCTGTATCGCTATATAATGTATTGCTGAGATTTGGCGTCCTCTATAGCTGGAGGTCTTCTGTATCGCTATATAATGTATTGCTGAGATTTGGCGTCCTCTATAGCTGGAGGTCTTCTGTATCGCTATATAATGTATTGCTGAGATTTGGCGTCCTCTATAGCTGGAGGTCTTCTGTATCGCTATATAATGTATTGCTGAGATTTGGCGTCCTCTATAGCTGGAGGTCTTCTGTATCGCTATATAATGTATTGCTGAGATTTGGCGTCCTCTATAGCTGGAGGTCTTCTGTATCGCTATATAATGTATTGCTGAGATTTGGCGTCCTCTATAGCTGGAGGTCTTCTGTATCGCTATATAATGTATTGCTGAGATTTGGCGTCCTCTATAGCTGGAGGTATTCTGAATTGCTATTTAATGTATTGCTGAGATTTGTAGTCCCTCTACAGCTTGAGGTCAGTGGCAGAACTGCCAGGAGTGGTGTGGAATTTCTATTGCCTGATGCCAGGGATGTGTAGTTCCAGGCAGGTATTCTTTTTTTTTTCTTCATTTAGACCTGCTGCAGGGTAGCAGAGATAAATGTAGAGTGGGAGAGCCGCAGCACATTTAGTACAAGTGATCTCACGTAACTATGTAAAAGATAAATAAGAAAAGCTGCAAAATTGTCTAAATAAGGGCTTACGGTATATGATGCTGCCAATTTCATTGTTGTGTAGTAAGCAAGACTGTGGTTCTGTGAATTCTATACCCAGCTTTAGTGGTAATAACCTAATATGAAGATTATATATTACTTCAGCAAGCAACACGCCCTGATCACAAATGTCTTTGGAGAAAAAAGGGTAATTCTTAATTAAATATCACCACTTGTTGTTTATTTATTATTGCTATTCATATAGCGCCGACAATTGTTTGGGCATATCTGTCTCAGTGACAACCATGTTTCACTTTGAAGCCATTAGAAGGCAAAAAAAAAAAAAATGAACAGAAAATAGTTTTTGTTGCCATTAAACTAAAAGGAAGTGCGTGTTGTCACTGCATATGCAGATAACTCAGCACCCTTCTGGGACCGTAGAACACAAGTGCACACACCGGATTCTACACACACATACACTTCTCCCAGACACATCCTCATGTGACCGAAGCACCCAGCCGATCTCGCTCGTGCACAGTGAAGCCTCCCGTAGACGGGACCTGTTGCGCATGCGGGCATGTGCAGCGACAGGCGTCGTGTAGCGGACACGCGCCTGACCCAGGACTCCCAAATGTCCTGTAGCCGGAAGTGACGCGTAGTAGACTCTTTATTACCGGTAGGAGAGTCTTCCTGGCAGTGAAATGTTTTTGTTTTTTTTCTCCTGACGCTATGTCCTGTTTCCGGGGGAGGGGGTTTGGGGGTGGGAACAGTCAGGGTCTAACTCCTCCTCAGTTGTGAAGGAAGCTGGAGCACCAGGCGCTGCCGGCGGCTTGTGTTCCATCACCGACAGTGAAGGGGAGAACAAGAGCTGACGTGGAACCAAAGCGGGTCCTTCACCAGTTCCTCCTTGCTGCCTTCGCTCTTCGATAGGAGACCACCATCGGCAAGTGACGGCCAATCACAGCTTGGCTCCCCTTACTCCGCTCAGGTGGTGGAGGGGGAACACAGCCAATCACGGCTCGACTTTCATCCTGACTCTTAATTGTCACCGCTGGTTGGAATCGAGAACTGCTAAAACTATCTACCAATAGCCTGAGAGAGTGCAGGAACGAGGAGCCGGGGGTGGGATCACTGGACAGCCAATCAACGTCCTACATTCCTGTCACAGAACAGCTGGGGAGAGATGAGGACCAGGAGGTGACTCAGCCATCTCCAAGGCAACGGGCCAGTCATCTGCTAGACCTTTTCCCCCCCACCACACCCTTATTCCAGCCAATTGCTGCTCCTCCTAACACCCTTCATCTTGGAGTACAGGTGTGAAAACAAGTCAACCAATCAGAGGACCTCTCTGCAATTCTAGGTGAAGACTAGGATATGCCAGCCAATGAGAAGAGAGATTTCCAAACTACAGTGTAGCCAATCAGCTATCTTTCTAGTGCCTGTGTTTAAAAAAAAAAAAAAGGAGTGCCATTTTGTGGAGTGGGATACCAGGAACCCACTTGAGTAGACAGATTTCCCTAAGTGCCTGGGAACCATCACTAGCCACGCGCCAGAAAGGCCAGTGGGGCAAGGACCCGCCAAGCCCTTCTCTCAACCCCAGATTGGGATCCACAGATTCGGGACAGCAAGACACTAACCTCCATGAATGGAAATCGGCACCGCAGGTATCTATGCTACTCATTGGTATATTGGGTACAGGTAATCGGGTCTTGGTATGCTTTCATCAGTGCTAAGAACCTTGTTTTATCAGATTTATGATATGGTGTTGCTTTAGGGATAGTCTACTCCGCACATTTTTAGGGTAAAAATGTGAGAACTGCCATTGCCAAGATGATCACAGCAATAAGAACCAGACAGAGGCTAAATACAATCTGAGATATATATATATATATATAAAAACTTTGCATCTAACGCTGGCCATACACCTATCAAGTTTTTTTCGTTCCAACCCGCGGGCTGAACAAAAATAATTGACGCGATTTCTCCAACATAAACAGCCTGTCGATCGAGGAATCCCACTATTTACATTGTATTCTGACAGGTGCTTCCAGCACCTGTCAGAATACCCGACCAGAGCGGGCAGCTCATTGGCTGCCAGCTCTAATTGTACAAAGATTTTACAGCTGACCGAGGAATGCCGGCTGAAAGGGAGCGGACAGCCCCACACGCTGTTCGAATTTCGGTCGGTATATAAAAAATTCGGCCAGTGTATGGGCACCTTTTAAGGCGGTGTGTTCAGGCCCGTCTGTCAGTTTTTCAGGCGAATCTGATTGGAAGCCCAATGCTAGTCTATGGGCAGCTGGATCTAAATGGACATATGCTTACATTTGGTAACCCCCGTCCCTGGCCAGGTCTGGAGAACAAAATGGAACGGAGTTCCATATTGGCAGATATGACAGATCAGAGGTTATCTGATGTAAAAGGACACATGTCCGCTTACATCTGACTCCCCATAGTCCTAACGTGGGTCTGGTAAGTTCATTTTTTGTCCTCCATGATAAGATGGAGGAAAAAAACTGGATGGCCATATATGTCACAGCGGTGACATCCATTCCAAACTGCTCCGATCATCAGGGGATCTGTGCACAGATATCCTGCTTATTGGAACTGACAGCACCTGTGTGAAAGGGGCCTAAACAGTCAAATTAAAACCAAATGGCTTAATGATCGCGTGGGGAATAGTTGAAGTATATCTAAAACTGAAACTTTTTTTTGGATAGAGTAGGGGTGGATTCAAATTATGTTTTTGTTTTGAGGTCTGTGTCTAGTTAGGGACATTTCCCTTCACTTTCTGTCCTATGTACTTGAGAATTATATCAGAGAAGTATGGGGAGAGTGAAAAGCACTCAACCCAATAATTAGAGCCCATGTGTGACACTGAAGCTGCCACACGTCGGCTCTATTGATGGGAACTGAGCAATCACATACCGCTGATCACTGAGTTCCTGATCTTCTCCTTGCAGAGAGCGGTGACTATCCGTCACCCCCTCCCCTCTCTAATCCTCCAGCACTCATTGGGGGGACAGACGGGAGGGGGTGGGCACAGCTGTCTGGCTCTAGGGAGGCAGAGCCAGCTGTGAAACAGGCAGCTAAGTGACAATATTGTCAGGATTTTTCCTGGCTGCAGCGTGGCTTTGCGCTGTCGGCATATAGCGGGCAATAGCCCTCTCTATGCTGAGTTTATGGACACAGGAGGACATTAGAGTCATATGAGGACATTTACTAAAGAAAACTAAGATTTGGACATAGTGCTCTTTTAATATATTTCTCATAGTTCTCTTCTCACTTCCTAATGTGAGGGAAATCCCTAGACCTGAAGTGAGAGAATATATTTCCAGTCTGAGTGAATTTCCCCTTATGGTTGTCATGGGAACAAGTATCTCCATTGGACATTTTCCACTCTCTTCGTGTTTTGGTGGCAACTCCAAATTTTGCATTTACCCATCACTTATGTTTTTGGTAACATTCATGATCAGAAGAAATAGAGCGAGTGAATGTCCCCAGCGAGGACACAGGTTTTTATTGCTGACAGTGGTCCTAACTCCACTCTATCCAAATCTAAAACAAGTTTTGCTGTTTATAGTTGAATTTGTAAGTTTTTATTTTTTATTTTTGTCATCTCACTGGGAAAATGTTCCCATCACTATTTGTGTTTTTGACACTAGGACAAGTAATAAGGGGAATGGTTGTCACCAGGATAGGAAGGCACAGGCATTCATTCAAACTTTGCCAGGAACACACTGACAGCACTAAAAAGATTGTCCAAAGTTGTAACACTTCCCGTTGTACTAAGGGCTTTTTCACACCGTCGGCATTGGGCTTGGTTGCCCAAAGAAGTATCAATAAAAGGAAATGGCCTTATGTTGTATAGCTTTAGTTGGGCTGGGGGGGAAAAAAAAGGCGGCCCGGTGCAAAAATACTGTTACATTGCTGCAGAGAACCTGTTTTATCAGAACTCTCTTTACTAAGGCCTGTGTCTAGTGTATTTAAAGCACGAACTGTTGTTTTTTCTTTGTCTAGTTTTGGATAGAGTAGGACAGGGTTAGAACCCCTGTCAGTTTTCTATGTAACTGCAAAACAAAGTTATACTTGCCCAAAGCTCCGAGCCAGTTTCTTCTTAGACTGGTCCCTGGAATGTCTTTCCCCTTCTTCTGCAGCTAAGGTCCCATAAATAATCATGTCTATACACTCTGCGTAGACGTGAGACACTAAGGAACATTCCAATGTGCGGAGGAGGAGGGGACAGGCTGGAGGGAGCGCTGTGATAGGTGGCCGGCTCAGAATTTTGGTTGAGTATATCTGTTATTTTAGCACCTAGACACAAACCAGCACTTAACCCTTGCAGTTTGGGGGTAGCCCCACTGCAAGAGTTAATAAAAATTATTCCTGAAGTTCTGCTTTAAAGGAGAACTCCAGACAAAAAAAGATCATAATGAATAGCACATTAAAAGAAAAAACAAACAAGCTTTTGATTCAATTAAATAGATTTCCCCACAGTATGTCTGTCTTCAGTCTGAAGGCCAACTTTCTAAAAGGATGCACCGACACCATTTCTTCCAGACCAAGTACGAGTACCGATACTCACCAATACCAATTACTGATACTTTTTTCAGCAAGAGCGGGACCTTACGGCAGCCAACTCCTATTTAACAATTTAAAGCACTGGTATCGGTGGTAATCTGACCATCATCTTACACCCTCTCCAAGGTGCACATGAAGTAATGATGATGGTCAGACTGGTGCTGGTACTCTCCATAGTGGCCAACATTAGAGCTGTACTCTGATTGACATTCATCTCTGTGAGAAGTTCCATACTCGGCCTTTAGTGGTGAAGTTGTGAGATTGAGATCCTTTAAAGGAGAGGAGCCAATATTTGAGTGATTATGGATACATGGCTATGGAATTATCGGTGATGAATATCAGATCGTGGGCATACATCCGTAGTTGCGATAAGAAGTTATTCCCAGTTCATGTAAGCAGAAGACGTTTTCCTTTCCGTGTTATCTCATTAGTTGGATCTGGTGAGTGTGTAGGAGCTCTAGATTTCCGCTCCCCTGGTTCCCCTCCCCTGACAACAGCACAGGTCTCCTGCATACTAAAGGTGCCCATACACCTTACGACCATCGCAAGACTTTTGTCTTGCGATGGTCGTATGCTTATTGAAAGCTCGTACGATCTGCCCACCTTGGACGGGCAGATCGTACTTGCGATCATCGAAAGCCCGCCCCGCTGAGGGGGCGGGCTTCCGATGACCGCAATGCAGAACGGGCAGTGTGCGCGTGCGCACACCGGCCCGTTCAGCAGCTATCGGACGAGCAGGCTAGAAACCCGCCGACAATCGTACGATTCTCGGCGGGGTTTCAAGCATGTTGGTTCGACAAAAGACGTGCGACCGTACAGTAGAAACGGTCGCACGTCTTCGTTCACACTGCTCGATTCTCGTACGATCGCGGGATTTCGCCCGATTCTCCTACGAGAATCGAGCAGTGTATGAGCACCTTTTAAGGTCTAGCAAAACACTTCCCGCACTCAAGCATCCCCCAGGCCTAGCCTGGGGGGCGGGCTGGACAGCACCCCAACCTGGACTAATCCATGGCTGGCACAAGACTGAGCACATGGCAATTCCCTCGAGTATTGTGAAATGACGAAAAACTATGGTACCTAGATTTTTCCATAGGCAATGCTTTTAGTCCCCATTCACACTTGCGCACTGTGTGAATACACACCAAAGCAACGCGCCAAAAATGTGCAAGGTGTTGGCGGAGCCATTACTTGTTAATGGCACCCAAATGTGGCCCATAAAAAACCCACAAACGCGTTGTCAAAATACTGAAATGGTTTGAGCTTCTTTGCTGCATTTGCTGTGCTTGCGGCAGCCCATTGAAATAATTGGGCTGACATGTGGCAATGGTGGGAAAAACGCGCAACGCAGTGCGTGTTCATGCGTCGCAAAAGTGTGAATGGGGCCTAAAAGCCTTGACAGGTCATAAGTGTGTTTATATAGATATAGATGTATAGATGTATAGATATCTACAGTATATATCTATATACACACATACACACACTAAGCAGATTCTGCTTGATCAGTTTCATCCCCAACTACAGTGGCCAGGGAATGATTTATTTAGCGTGTCAGAACTGCATTTATTGCTGATGGGTAAGAATTATGAGCCATAGAACTCACATGCCACATAATTAGTTGCTAGACACAGGCCTTAGTAAAGAGAGTTCTGATAAAACAGGTTCTCTGCAGCAATGTAACAGTATTTCTTACACAGTCTTTTGAAGGAGAAGTAAAAAATATACTATACCCAATACTTGGAGATGATGTAGAACACTTCAGCTGTCTCACGCCGGCTCCATATACAGAGAGCCAAGCAATCATGCAACCACTGATCGCTCAGCTCACATTCTCTTCTCCCTGAGAGCGGTGACTGTCAGTCATCATTCCCCACAGGGATTCCCCCCTCCACACTCAGTTCCTCCAGCTCTCATTGGAGGGACAGACAGGGGAGGGGGTGGGCACAGCTGGCTCTGGCTCTAGAGAGGCAGAACCAGCTGTCAATCAGACAGTTGTATGGATTTCAACAATATTGTTGGGATTCGTTCCAGCTGCAGCAATATACTGCTGTTTTTTTTTGTTTTTTTTTTGTTTTTGTTTTTT